AGCGAAACTCCGTCTCAAAAAAAAAAAAAAAAAAAGAAATACGGTCAAGTTAGCTTGTCAGAAGAAGCACCAACTCTGCTACACTGAATCTTGTTTTTGTATTTCATTATTTACAGACACTTTAAACAGCCCAAAACAAAGAAAATCTGTGCCAAAGGAAGGAATTTCTGGTAAATGATAACATGCAATTTAGCAGCTTTCTTCCTTTACCAACACTTAGAGTATATAAGGTCTTAGTGAACTGATGGTCGGACTGTGGTTAGAGAGACACAAACTATTCATGATGGACACTTCGACACTTTCTCCTAAGGCTTTTAAGTTAATGATTAACTCCAACCTCTTTGGGCCCTATGCTTTTCCATTTAGCCTTAAGAAAACCCAGGTAGAAGATTCCAATTCTCTTTACACCTCACCAATTCTCAGAATAAGTCAACAGTCAAGAATCATTTCTTATTCTTCCTTATTCTGCTTCAGACCACTGGTAAAAGGTGTCAAAAGAAGTGCCTATTCAAGTTCAAATTTCTCTTTCCACACAGGAACCATTTTTTCTTTCCTTTTTGAGACAGAGACTCGCTTTGTCACCCAGGCTGGAGTACAGTTGCATGATGTCGGCTCACTGAAGCCTCTGCCTCCTGGGTTCAAGCAATTCTCCTGCCTTACCCTCCTGAGTAGCTGGGATTACAGGCATACACTACCATACCCAACTAACTTTTTATATTTTTGGTAGACATGGGGTTTCACCATGTTGGCCAGGCTGGTCTCAAACTCCTGACCTCAAGTGATCTGCCTACCTTGGCCTCCTAAAGTGCTGGGATTACAGGTGTGAGCCACCATGCCCAACCAGGAACCACATTTAAGTGCCTTATACCACCATATGTGGAATGGATCCAGTAACCACACCAAGTTATAGACCAGTTATCTTAAGCAGACATTCTTCTGATCACACCCAGAAATGATGTCTACAATCAGCTAACCTGGTAACAAGATTATCAAATTTTACACAGTATTTTTCTGTAGTTAATGACTGCCACGGTCTGCAAAATTCTGTATATTATTAGACAATGAATGATGATTAAAGAATGATGACCTACTTTCTAAAGCATACTCAAAATATTAAACTTTAGAGACAAAGTAAAATATCATAAAGCTGGCTTCTGTTGATAGAAACAGAGAGGTAGGTTAATAATCACTATACTAAGAAAAGCAAGAATGCTTAGAAATAAAAGTTGGAGACCCTGCTTCAAAAAAGATAAGTTGAATCTTCCAGCCCTGAGTTTCTAATATTACATGAAAATTGTGAAAATGAGCATTACAGCTGAGTGCAGTGGCTTACCCCTGTAATCCTAGCACTTTGGGAGGCTGAGGCTGGTGGATCACGAGGTCAGGAGTTTGAGACCAGCCTGGCCAATATGGTGAAACCCCACCTCTACTGAAAATGCAAAAATTAGCTGGGCATGGTGGCATGCACTTGTAGTCCCAGCTACTCAGGAGGCTGAGGCAGAAGAATTGCTTGAACCCAAGAGGCAGAGGTTGCAGTGAGCAGAGGTCATGCCACTGCATTCCAGCCTAGGCAACAGAGTGAGACTCCATTTCAAAAAAGAAAAAAAAAAAAGAGCATTACGAAAAAGAAAATACCAGTAGCCATTTCTTTCCATCCATGATTATTAAATACATCACCTTTTCTCATATAACAATTTAAGTGGCACAAGGCTACAGAGTGAAAATAAATGGACTCCGGACGCAACTGATGTTGGCATAAAAAGCACGACTAAGCTGGGCACGGTGGCTCAAGCCTGTAATCCCAGCACTTTGGGAGGCCAAGGCGGGTGGATCACGAGGTCGAGAGATCAAGACCATCCTGATCAACATGGTGAAACCCTGTCTCTACTAAAAATACAAAAAATTAGCTGGGCATGGTGGCACGTGCCTGTAATCCAGCTACTCAGGAGGCTGAGGCAGGAGAATTGCTTGAACCCAGGAGGCGGAGGTTGCGGTGAGCCGAGATCGCACCATTGCATTCCAGCCTGGGTAACAAGAGCAAAACTCCGTCTCAAAAAAATAAAAATAAAAAAAAGCACAACTAAGGGAGAATTTGTTCCCACCCTCCTGCCCAAGAGACAGATGGCAATGTCTGGAGATATCTTTGTTGTCATGGCTGAGGAAGGGGTCTATTAGAATCGAGGGAGTCTACTAGAATCTAGTGGGCAGAGGCCAGGGATGCAGCTGACCATCCTAAATACACAGGACAGCCCCCAACAACAATGAACTATCAATCCCAAAATGTTAACAGTTGCAAGGTTGATCCTCTGGTTTAAAGGAACAAATTCTTAACAGAGAACACAAAAACCTTCTAAGGCCTATCTAGGCAATACAGTTCTAAGCTCAGAATTAGGGAACAGAAAAGTTAAACTTCTTGGTAGACTAAAACCAAATGTGCTGTGAAAAATTAAAGTACTGGACTGATTCCAGAGTTTTACCATCACTTACAAGAACAGAAGAAATTTGGCTGGGTGCAGTGGCTCATGCCTGTAATCCCAGCACTTTGGGTTACCTGAGGTCGGGAGTTCAAGACAAGCCTGGCCAACATGGTGAAACCCCATCTCTACTAAAAATGCAAAAATTAGCCAGGCATGGTTGCACGTACCTGTGGTCCCAGCTATTTGGAAGGCTGAGGCAGGAGAATTGCTTGGACCCAGGAGTCGGAGGTTGCAGAGTGCCAAGGTAGCACCACTGCACTCCCGCTTGGGAGACAAAGTGAGGCTCTGTCTCAAAAAACAAACAAATAAACAATAAAAAACAAGAATAGAAAAAATTTAAATGATCCACTAAAATGGCTTAATGGTTACACTGGAAGCACACAGAGAGAATATTCCAAGTAGGTCAAATATCTGATCCAAGAGGCATAAATGAAAGGCATTTAAATCAGCTAAATTTGTACCAGTAAAGGATAATTTAGGGAATGATTTGAGAGAATATCCTACATTTCTTCATACATCCCAACTTCCATTTTCTAATGGTGTGGGTTCCATGAACAGGGATGCATACAAGTCATTCAAATATTTGTTGAATGATACGGAATACGAATTTACATGAAATGGACAGAGAAAAGTATCTTAAATTTCGGAGAACTACTTGTAATTAAAGTCACCGAGAAACAAGGAGAAAGAGAATCAGTTTCTATATTACAGAATTCAGAAAAAACACCAAAGCTCTAAGCCGTTTAACAAATAAATTCAATATGCAATCATTTACTTCCTATTACATTTACTTCCAGGGTTACTTTTAGAAAACATACTCATAACATGGCTTCAAGCTTGCCTACTGGGTGAAGTGCAAACTTTAAGAAGATCATCTTCCCTCTCAGTTTATGGACCTTTAACATCACCAAGGAGAATGAAGGCTCATTGCCTATGGTTCATAAAAGAAATGTCCAAAGGCTTTGAGTGCATAAACCAGCTAGAGTAGGGTAAGGTTTCTTCCTATCAGATTGTAAAGAAGAGAAAAAAGAGAGCTGAAAGGGTGTTAGACCAAGTTTTCCCCTTGTTTGTATTTAGAGTTGATTGTCAAAGCAGTGGTCCCTTTTGATTAGAGTGACTTAGAAGAATCAAGTAATTCCTACATAAATGACAGTTGAAATAGTCTGAAACCCAGGACTACTTATGCAATCACTTTTAAAAATGATTCTCCCCTTTTCACTGTGATTTTATGCAAGTCAAATCACAGAAGTAGATGGGGAACAAGAATCAACCGTCTCTGAGGGACTTTAGGCACAATTTGGCAGAGGGTCCTGACTTCTTTTCTGCAATCTATTAGTGATTCAGCCATGGCCTCCTATGGACTTCATCTGCTCACTGACTACAATGTCTTACATTTTCCTGAAAATTTTTTTTACATGATAAATTCTAATCTCTCCATCTAACTATTGCTTTGCAATTTTGAGGTTAAACCACCTACATTGTTTTATGTAGGAGACAATCCTCAAACCTATTCCCATTTGCCTAGGATCTCATAATGAAACATCTCTCTTTCCTCCACAACCATGTATATAATACATTTTAAGAGCTGTTTAATTTAGAACTTCTCAAAAAATATATTTTGAAATACTACGTTTCATCATACCCTTACTTAAAACCATGACAATCACTTCTCCTAACAATGAGGGTCACCAGACCAAATCACTAGGGTAAATTTTGACATACATCAATGGCCAGCATTTAGGCTAGGAATTCAAATATAACTAATGATTTAAACATATAAGGAACTATAAAACCAAAATGCATGCTTAAGGCCAGCTCCACGAGTAATATAGCTATGTTACTGGTCAAAGAAATGATCATGACAGTCATTTCAACCACTGACTTAGATCACAAAATGACTGACTGTACACAGTGACTCAAGTGGCCATGCATATAAAAACAACCTAAATTCCAGTTGACAATGTGCACATTTTTGGAAAAACAAGTATAATCTAGACTAGAAGGTCTGTAACATATTAATTTTTCCTTTTTTCACCATATCTTTTCCGATTGAACTTTGGAGCCTTGGCTCTATGGCTGCTCTATTTCTTTTTTTTAGTATTTATTTGTTTCTAAGAGGAACTCTTTCATCACCATGCTGCCTTCAGAGCTAAAGTCATGATATATTTGTGCTTCTGAATTGTAAGGAGACAGACCTTCAGGAAAGATGTTCTAAATTTTCAAATGCATATCTTTTAAAATGTCTAACTTTAAAAAATGAATGAACTGAAAAAAGAACATTTGTTCATTTGTTATTAAAAATGACTGGTCTACAGGAAAAAAAAGATAAAGAAAAAAACAAAAAAGAAAGACAAAAAAATTACTGGTCTACAAAGGTTTTAGTAGATGGGGCTATATAGTATATAACTGAGACTGAAGACAAAAACTGAAAATTTGTGGTTTCTAAAATGAGGAATAGGATATATTAGGTTGGCATTACCAGTTTTGGGGAGAAACACTGAATAAGTTAAGGGGGGAAAAAGATGAGAATGAGTGATCTGTTTTATCTTAAGAAACTTTTGTCCCATACAGAATCTTTAAAATAGACAATTATATAAAATGTATCTATTGTTCTTATGACATTTAAATAAGTTAACACAAAGTGGGAAAAGGTGGCATTAGTTATCTTCTTCCTCATCCTCCTTAATTACTGGAGTACCTAAAATGAAAAAGAAAATTAGTACTGGTCATTCTCAACAAATTGCTAAAATTCTAGATGAAAATATTTTCCTGGCCAGGCACGGTTGCTCACGCCTATAATCCCAGCACTTTGGGAGGCAGGTGGATCACCTGAGGGTCAGGAGTTTGAGATCAGCCTGGCCAACATGGTGAAACCCATCTCTACTGAAAATACAAAACTTAGCTGGGGCATGGTGGCAGGCAGTTGTAATCCCAGTTAAATGAGAGGCTGTGGCAGGAGAATTGCTTGAACCTAGGAGGCAGAGGTTGCAGTGAGCTGAGATTGCACCCTTGTACTCCAGCCTGGGCGACAGGAGCAAAACTCTGTCTCAAAAAAAAAAAAAAAAAAAAAAAAAAAAAATTCCTGTTAACCTGAGAAGCTCTGAGATACTATGAAGTGTGCCATAATAAAAATAATTTTACAAAATAATCTCTTTAATTTCAAATTCTCTGAAAAGCTTCTCAGGAGAATTCTCAAATGGTTTAGTATATATACTTATGAATATTAAGCCCCCTAACTGCCAAATTGCAAATAAAAATGCTTATGGCCAGGCATGGTAGCTCACTGCCTGTAATTTCCAGCACTTTGGGAGGCCAAAGTGAGAGGAGCACTTAGGCCCAGGAGTTGGAGACAAGCCTGGGCAACATAGCAAGACCCCATCTCTACAAAAAAAAAAAAAAAAAAAAAAAAGCCCGGCATGGTGGTGTGAACCTGTAGTCTCTAGCTACTTTGGAGGCTGAGGTGGGAGAATCACTTGAGCCTGGGAGGTCAAGGCTGTGGCAAGCTGTGGTTATGCCACTGCATTCCAGCCTGGGTGGCAAAGTGAGACCCAGTCTCAAAATAAAATAAAATAAACCAACAAGTACCAAGCAGAAAAATAAAGTGAGTTCTGTACACATTGAAAACTTTCTGCCAGGCACGGTGGCTCACACCTGTAATCCCAGCACTTTGGAAGGCTGAGGCGGATGGATCACCTGAGGTCAGGATTTCAAGACCACCCTGGCCAACATAGTGAAACCCTGTCTCTACTAGAAATACAAAAAATTAGCTAGGTGTGGTAGCAGGCGCCTATAATTCCAGCTACTAGGAAGGCTGAGGCAGGAGACCACTTGACCTGGGGAGGCGGAGGTTGCAGTGAGCCAAGATCATGCCACTGCACTTCAGCCTGGAAAATAAGAGTGAGACTCTGTCTCGAAAAAAAAAGCTTACTATGTTAAGCATAAAGATAGAGTCATTTCCCACAATAAAATGTGTAATTACAGTATTGCAAAAAATCTGAACTGCTGTAATTGTTTAATGATCTCCCCCAGTTGCTGAACATTGGGGAGATACTGAAAAAAATAATCACTGTAGAGAAAACAAAACATATCTCTGGTTCTCACTGGGCCAAGGGCCACCCATTTCTGAGCTTTAGCATTTAAAGCCAGTCTGACCCCAGCTGACTATTCAGTCTTAACTATTCAGGCATTTACCCTGAACTCCAGCTAACCTGATCAATTCACTGTCTCCCAAACTCATCTTGCACACTTTTACCTCTGGACAACTGGTTAACAAAGTTCCTTCATTTTTTCCCCCTTTTCTTTTCTATTCTTTTTTTTTTTTAGATGGGACTTCCTATGTTGCCCAGGCTGGACTTGAACTCCTGGGCTCAAAGGATCTTTATGCCTCAGCTTCCTGAGTAACTGGGTCTATAGGTGGATGCCACCACACCCAGCTTAAAATTCCTTCATTTCATAATGTCCTCCTCAACTCTCCTCCCATCTAAACCCTACCCTTTATTAAGAACTAACTCCAGTGCCTCATTTCCCCAGTGATGCCTTCCAAGACGTCCACGTTCTTTATGGCGGTAAACATAATTTGACCTCTCTGTACATCCCACAGCATCTGTTTGTGGGACAAGTGAACTTTTTGTTGACATGCAACATACAAAGTGTACAAATTATAATGTACAGATTGATAAATGTTCATAAGGTGAGCAAAAGCTAGTTACCTGCACCCAGATTTAAGAAAGATTATCAGAACCTTAAAACTGCCTCAGACCCCCTGCCAGTCACTACACCCACAAAAGACATATTCTATGCTAATATCTAACACCATAGCCCATTTTGTTTTTTGTTTGTTTTTTAAGACAAGGTCTTGCTCTGTCACCCAGGATGGAATGCAGTGATGTGATCACAGCTCACTACAGTCTCAAACTCCCATACTCAAGCAATCTTCTTGCCTCAGCCTCCCAAATAGGATCACAGGAATGATATAGCATGTACTCTGTATCTGGTTTCTGTTTTGTTTTGTTAAGATGTAATCTCACTTTGTTGCCCAGGCTGGAGTGTGGTGGTGCAATCTTGGCTCACTGCAACCTCTGCCTCCCGGGTCCAAGTGATTCTCCTGCCTCAGCCATCCTGAGTAGCTGGGATTACAGGCATGTGCCACCATGCCTGGCTAATTTTTTTTGTATTTTTAGTAGAGATGGGGTTTCACCATGTTGGTCAGGCTGGTCTCAAACTCCTGACCTCGTGATCCTCCTGCCTTGGCCTCCAAAAGTGCTGGATTACAGGCATGAGCCACCGTGCCCCGCCTGGCTTCTTTTATTCAACATTATGTTTGTAGCCCGGCGCGGTGGCTCACGCCTGCAATCCCAGCACTTTGGGAGGCCGAGGCGGGTGGATCACGAGGTCAAGAGATCGAGACCATCCTGGTCAACATGGTGAAAACCCGTCTCTACTAAAAATACAAAAAATCAGCTGGGCATGGTGGCACGTGCCTGAAATCCCAGCTACTCAGGAGGCTGAGGCAGGAGAATTGCCCGAACCCAGGAGGTGGAGGTTGTGGTGAGCCGAGGTCGCGCCATTGCACTCCAGCCTGGGTAACAAGAGCGAAACTCTGTCTCAAAAAAAACCCAAAAAAAAACCATTATGTTTGTATGATTCATCCGTGATGTGTAAAATTGTAGTTCATTCATTTTTATTGCTGTTTAATATTCCATTGTATGACTATACCGTAATTTATCTATCTATTCTATTGTTTAAAACATTTAAGTTGTTTCTAATTTTTAGCTATTGAAATATTGCTACTATGAACATTCTCATAGGTGTCTTTTGGTAACATACTCACCCTTTTCTTTGGGGTATGTAGTTAGGAAGGAAATTGCTGAGTCACAAGTGTAGAGCTTTTGTAGATAATGCCAATTTCCCAAGGTGGTTATACCAAGTTACATAACCATCCTATACAGTATAAGAGTTGCCTCGCATCCTTACTAGCATTTGGTATTGTCTGTCTTTCTCACTTTAGATTTTAAAGATCCCTCAGTTTTGCTTATGAGCAATGGAAGAGAAACAAAAACAGGCAAGTTTTCAGCCGTGGCCATCTCTATTCTGGTTTATCCCACTGGTTTAGAAGAGACTGAGGCGGTTCTTCTAGGGCCTGTTCAGATTGACATGAAGTCAATATTTGATCCAAAAGGCCATAAGGCAATTTGACCTATTCAAATTCTGCATGGAGGGTTCTATTTTTTTCTTTTTTGTTTTGTTTTATTCTGAGATGGAGTCTCGCTCTGTTGCCCAGGCTGGAGTGCAGTAGCATGATTCGGCTCACTACAACCTCTGCCTCCCAGGTTCAAGTGATTCTCCTGCCTCAGCCTCCCAAGTAGCTGGAATTACAGGCATCCACCACCACGTCCAGCTAATTTTTCTATTTTTAGTAGAGACAGTTTCACCAGGCTGGCCAGGCTGGTCTTGAAGTCCCGACCTCAGGTTATCTGCCCGCCTCAGCCTCCCAAAGTGCTGAGATTACAGGAGTGAACCACCATGTCCGGCCAGCTACTGTCTTTTATTTGACCCTTTCTTTCCAGTTTTTGAAGATACAGCAGGAAATAATCTTCTCTGAAGATACTTGATAAAAATTCCTCTAAAACAAAAACACATGCTTCAACTTCATTGACAAAAATTTACTGCAGTTTTGCACCTGGATCTACTTCAGCTGGCAGATGAGCTGATTGTTGCATTCACCCTGATAGCCAGGTGTGACCATCTCCTTGAGGAAACCCATTCTATTTTTTGTAGCATGACAGGCCACTGAGAGGTGGATAGGGCACAAGAACCGTAGATCTCCTGGAAATGCTTCTCTGGGGAGGTAATTTCATGAATGAGGTGTTCCAAGCAAATTGAGAGGTGAGACCCCTCACCTCCTTCTATTTCACCTCCTCCCTCCCCCTCCTTCCAGATGGGAAGGAGGGTGAAGAAGGAAAAAATAAATAAATAAAGTAAGATACCAAAGAGCTGGGAAAATGACTCCCTCTTTAGTTCCCAGCATTTCTGCTATCTGTTAACCTTGAAAGAGCTGCAAATCAATGTTATCTCTGCAGGCTGGAGGGTTCATGCCCCCACGTCTCCATGGACCAGGCTCCCTCCTGGAAACACCTCTGCCAACAAACAGCTTGTTGCTTTTGTCTTGTCTGTGTAAGCCCCCTTCCCTGCTGGTCCCCGCTCATGCTGCATATGAATTAGCAAATCAATGAAGCCAAAAGATTGTAAGGTTGGATATCCAGCAAATGGACAATGACATAGTTCTGCCTCAGTTTCCCCTTTAGCGTCGTAAACCTATAAAAGGGGAGAGAAGTTGCAGCTTGGGGAGCTCAGTGAATGAGACTGTAGCCCCCCGAAGCTCCCGGCTGGATAAAGAGCCACTTCCTCCCACAGTTCAGTGTTCAAGAGGTTTGTTCCCTGCCGCTCCTCTTTCAAAATGACAGCAAACTTGCCCAGGTACTCCTCAATCACTGTGTTGTCTCTCAGTGGGACAAGAGGGATGGCCTTATTCTTTACTTTGGCTTGTCCATGTTTCGACAGACTTCAGATTTGGAAATCCCCAGTGTGAGATATAGAGGGTTTCTCTTCAAACAGCCTGCTCAATCTTTCACTCTTTAATTCTCAGTACCCACTCCCCCATTTCTTCTCCTTTTCTTCTATAACTTTACTACATGCCTAAGCATGCCACAGCACCAGTGATGTTATCAGCACCAGCTCACATCCCTTTCCTTATTTAAGAAAAGACTACTAGCTCTCTAGTTCGCTGCTGACAACCCTTTCCTCCTTTCCCCTCTTTCTCATTATGTATCTACCTTATCTAAAAAAATTTAAATGTTTAGCCAATCAAATCCAGTTTAAATTGTGCAGTCCAACCCCAGCCAATAAAGAAAAGACACAAAAGCAAAAGTCGAATTAAAATAAAAACTTCTGCCGGGCGCGGTGGCTCAAGCCTGTAATCCCAGCACTTTGGGAGGCCGAGGTGGGTGGATCACGAGGTCAAGAGATCGAGACCATCCTGGTCAACATGGTGAAACCCCGTCTCTACTAAAAATACAAAAAAATTAGCTGGGCATGGCGGCGCGTGCCTGTAATCCCAGCTACTCAGGAGGCTGAGGCAGGAGAATTGCCTGAACTCAGGAGGCGGAGGTTGCGGTGAGCCGAGATCGCACCATTGCACTCCAACCTGGGTAACAAGAGCGAAACTCCGTCTCAAAAAAAAAATAAAAATAAAAATAAGAATAATAAAAACTTCTACTCTCCTTTGTTCTGTGTGCTCTTGTAGCAACCACTCATACAGGAGACACCCTTCTGCGCAAAAGTATATTTGCTTTGCTAAAAAATCCTTTGTCTAAGTGCCCATTTTTCCTTAAGACTCTGAGCCTCATTTCTAACCGTTCTGGTGGCCCATACAGGGATTCCCATTCTCCTTCAGGAGGGGGTCTTCAGTCTCCCCATCCAGGGGGAGATGTGTCCCACTGTCTCATTGCAGTGGCCTCAGGGATGGGAGATTGAGACCCACCCGTTGTGATAAATAAATCCGAGCTCTAAGCAACATGAAGAGGAATAGCTTGTAACACCACAGAGACTAACTCTGCGCATAGACCAAAGAAAAAAACATCACAAGGGCGACAAAGTATTTCCTTAGTAGTTGGGATATTCTGGAGGTTGAAAGTGTGTGAATAGTGCTAAGCACTACTGCTGTGCAAGGTAAGTAAGTCCTCTCCGCAGTTTCGTAGTCACTCATCCAGCTTAAGGTAGAAGCAGCCAGAGTAGACAAAGAGAAAGAAGGGTACATTTCTAATATGAAGAATTAAACCTTAACACAGCCTCAAGAGCAAGTAGTCAAGAGATTCCTAATACAAAGAATTGAGCCTCAAAGCCTCAGTAAGCTTCTAGAAAGAAGATGAGAAACCTCTAGTAGAAGTTGAACCCCACTCCCGTACCACACAACCTCTGAGATAAGAAACATTTCAAGTAAGACAGAAAAAATAAAAAGTCAAAAAGGTGCTGAAATTCCTTCTGATAGTCCCTTGAGGCTTATGTTAAAATATTAGAAAAATAATATGCAGCATTTTTAGGTTCTGAGGGGTGACTTTTACAAACACATCACTAAGAATTTTCTCTAGGCAAAGTCTTGTAATGGCTCTCTGCACCAGTAAACTCATACCATCAATCCTTTTGATGCATACAACAAAGGCCAAGAAGTGTGTATCTGGCAATTCCAAGGAGTAAGGTTTCACTACTAGTCATCTAAGAAGTACTCTATCTAAGTTTCTGCTGCCAGGAATCATGTAGGAATGAATCCAGTCATTTAAACCTGAGCTGTTTTCCTTTCCTCTGCTCCTTCTTTGCCCAAAGTGTCTGTTTTGCCTGGGTGGCTTTGAGGGTTGATAAGCCTTCCTCTTTTTCAGGAGGTTTTCAGGAATCAAAGAGATTTTTATTTGTTCTTGCTCTGCCATCTTTCTAGTGTTGCAGCCACTGATCCAGACTGAATTTCTTAACAGCCAGCTAAACTGAATCAGGGAAGTATTATTCAAAGTCAAAATAGAGGTTGATTTATATTAAAATATATCTTATACATTTGCATTTTTGGATCGATTTAAAATCTAAAATAATAATAACTTTTTATTTTGTTTCTGAGACAGAATCTTGCTCTGTCACCCAGGCTGGAGTGCAGTGGTGCCATCTTAGCTCACTGCAGCCACTACCTCCCAGGTTCAAGCAATTCTCCTGCCTCAGTCTCCTGAGTAACTGGAATTACAGGCACCCACCTATAATTAGATCCAGCTAATTTTGTATTTTTAGTAGAGACAGAGTTTCACCATGCTGGCCAGGCTGGTCTCAAACTCCTGACCTCAAGCGATCCTCCTACCTTGGCCTCCCAAAGTGCTAGGATTGCAGATGTGAGCCACTGCACCAGCTGACAATAACATATATTTTGAATACTTACTTTATGCTATGCACAACATTTAGCATAGATTATCTCCATGTGTTCAGTGTTTCACATAGTTTATTTCATTTAATCCTCATAATAATACTCTGATATATGTTCTAAAATGATTACTAATGGTACTATTATCATCTCCAATTTTTAGATTACAAACAAACAAGGTTTGGTGAGATTAATTAATTAGCACAATTTCACAAAAGCTATTAAGTGGAGGGGCTGGGCCTCGACTCAGTTAATCATGGTTATGTACTGATGCTGACACAGCTTAGATATTGGGAAACTAAGATTGGGGATGAGGGGAGAGAAAGTGAGAGAAAACACCACAATTTTGATCCAATTGTAAAAAAGCAATTGCTTACCATGTATTTCTGATTATTCTGAAGAATCTGAAAAATTTTTGATTCCGATCAAAATTTGTGACCTTTTGTCACCTTTCTGACTTGAGAACAAGTCTAGCTTTCTTTCACTTTTTAACTTGCTTCAATGAGCTAGAAGTTTATTTTTCTTTTACGTAAAAGTACAAGTAGATAGTAGATAGACATGGATCTTTGTGTTTTCTGGAAGTCAGGACCCTTCTCTCCTACGCTTACATGGGTGACCTCTTTGTGACTGAGGGAAGAGTGAGAAAAGGAGGACGCTCTGCACCAAACCCTGAAGAATTCCAGCTTTAATCCAATGTAACAGCAGAAAGTTTGTATCAGGAAAAAAATAAATATACACTTTTTTTTTTTTTTAATAAACACAGGGTTTTTCTTAGTATATTGCCAAGGCTGATCTCAAACTCTTGGCCTCAAGAAATCTTCATGCCTTGTTGAGTAGCTTGGGACTACAGAAATATGCCACTGTGACTAGCCCCACATATATTTATAAGGCCTAGCTTTCTTATAAGCTTTTGCTCTAGGAAGACTCTTGTGCCAGTCTAAATATCCCAGCAGTTTTTCATCTCACCTTGGCCCAAACCTAGACCACTCAATTTTGTATAGATAGAAATAACCTGGAAGATCAGGGGCATTTTTATTTAGTTTTTCTCCTCTTCATGATTCCATGCCACAAATTCCTTTTTTTTTTTTTTTTTTGAGACAAAGTCTTGCTCTGTTGCCCAGGATGGCATGCAATGGTGTAATCTCGGCTCACTGCAACCTCTGCCTCCCAGGTTCAAGCGATTATCCTCCCTCAGCCTCCAGAGTAGCTGGGATTACAGGTGTGCAGCACCATGCCTGGCTAATTTTTGTATTTTTAGTAGAGGCAGGGTTTCACCATGTTGGTCAGGCTGGTCTCGAACTCCTGACCTTGTGATCTGCCCATCTCAGCCTCCTAAAGTGCTGGGATTACAGGTGTGAGCCATCATACCCAGCCTATACAAGTTCCATTTTTATGCCTGGAAAACATGTCCAAACCAGCTCAGAATCACTCACCATCCAGCTTTTTCAGTTTGGGCACTCTCTTGCTTGCTTCTTCAATCCAGTTGTTCTCAGCAGAATGTTTCTCTTCCAAGGGATTGCCTACAAACACCAGGTCTTCCAGGCAGGGCAGTTCTGCCAGCTTCACAAACTCAGCTACAAGTGCAAACAATATTTTCCGTATTAAAACAGCAAGTTTTGCCGGGCGCGGTGGCTCAAGCCTGTAATCCCAGCACTTTGGGAGGCCGAGGCGGGTGGATCACAAGGTCGAGAGATCGAGACCATCCTGGTCAACATGGTGAAACCCCGTCTCTACTAAAAGTGCAAAAAATTAGCTGGGCATGGTGGTGCGTGCCTGTAATCCCAGCTACTCAGGAGGCTGAGGCAGGAGAATCGCCTGAGCCCAGGAGGCGGAGGTTGCGGTGAGCCGAGATCGCGCCATTGCACTCCAGCCTGGGTAACAAGAGCGAAACTCCGTCTCAAAAAAAAAAAAAAAACAGCAAGTTTTACTGTTAAAATTTTGGGGATTAAATTCCAGTATCATTAACCCTCAGTTTGTGACTATTCATGACAATTAGTTGTTTAAGATTTTGAAAGAAGCTAGGGAAGTTATACCATATAAAGTCATTCTCAGAAGACATTACAGGATGGGAGGGAAAAAGAAGACATACCTCTCTACTTTAAATGCTAGCCGAAGGATGAAAGAAGAGGAGATAAGGTTCAGAGTCAAAAAGAACAAATTGCTCTCCAGTGACAGGTCTTTATGCTGTGCTGCTGCAGTGTGGGTTAAGCTAACCTGCCTTTGTCTGTACCCATTCCCTCATCCTTGAATTCTTAAAACAACTCATTCAAATCTCTATTGCAGAACTTATCACAAAGTTTTCTGTTTGTTTGCTTGTTTGTTTTGTTTTGAGACAAAGTCTCACTCTGTTGCCCAGGCTGGAGTGCAATGGCACGATATCTACTCACTGCAAACTCTGTCTCCTGGGTTAAAGCAATTCTCATGCCTCAGCCTCCCAAGTAGCTGGGACTACAGCCATGCACCACCATGCCTGGCTAATTGTATTTTTAGTAGAGACAGGGTTTTGCTATGATGGCCAGACTAGTCTCGAACTTCTGAACTCAGGTGATCTGCCTGCCTCAGCCTCCCTAAATGCTGGGATTATAGGCATGAGCCATTGCATCTGGCCTCTTATCACAAAGTTTTATAATTATTAGCTTACAAACTAATTTTCCCCACTAAGCTGTGAACAACTCCTTGAGGGCAGGGATAATGTCCTATTCCATGTGTATCCAAAGAGACTGGTATAGTTTATCGCATGTAAGTGAATGAATTATGTACACTTTCTGTGCTTAGAAATCAATGTTCTCATTTTGCATCTTTTTCCTTGCAGAATACTTTCTATAAACAGGAGGTAGAAGGTTAGCAAAGGGCCACTCTCAGCTTACCCCAGTCTTTTACCAGGTTATTAGACATGTAGAGAATCTTCAATTTCTTCATTACGTGGATCCCTTTCAACTTCTCAATAAAATTGTAGGAGATCCACAGTTCTTCTAATGTGTCCCCTACTGCCTCCTGAAAAAGAACAAAATTTGAATTTGATTTACATGCTTATGTTTAACCTTTTCTTTCTGTCTTCTTCTTTATAAATATACAGATAATGGCTTTAAAGCAAACTAAGACTCTGCCTGTCTACTTGTAGAAGAGCTAATAGTTGTGTGGGAGGTTATTTTTTCTCATTAAGTGAGCCAAGTAGGGCCGGGCGCGGTGGCTCAAGCCTGTAATCCCAGCACTTTGGGAGGCCGAGGCGGGTGGATCACGAGGTCAAGAGATCGAGACCATCCTGGTCAACATGGTGAAACCCTGTCTCTACTAAAAATACAAAAAAAATTAGCTGGGCATGGTGGCGCGTGCCTGTAATCCCAGCTACTCAGGAGGCTGAGGCAGGAGAATTGCCTGAACCCAGGAGGCGGAGGTTGCGGTGAGCCGAGATCGCGCCATTGCACTCCAGCCTGGGTAACAAGAGTGAAATTCTGTCTCAAAAAAAAAAAAAAAAAAAAAAAAAAAGTGAGCCAAGTAGAACATTCTCTTCCCTTCTTCACTAATTTGAACTCTTCCTTCTCTGATTGTGCCACTAAAAAAAAAAATCCAAAACATAATACTTTACTAAGAATAGCCAATGAAATCACCAAGAAGGGAAATAATAGTACTATCTTAATGGTATGGTTTTCAAATTATATTCCTATAAAGTATATTCATCCCTACAATATCTGCTTTAAAGCAGATAAGGCAGGTTATTTAATTTCTATTATAGAGGGATTAAGAGCTTTTTCTAAGAATACACTGTTATTAAATAATAGAGCTAGGTCTAAAATTCAAGGTCTTCCCCAACATTTATTATGATAATTTTCAAATATAAAAAAGTTGCTTTTGTTTTGTTTTAGTTTTGTTTGAGAGAGGGCCTTGTTCTGTCACCCAGACTGGGGTGCAGTGGCACACTCAACAGCTAACTGCAGCCTCAACCTCCCCCAGGCTCAAGCAATCCTCTCACCTCAGCCTCCCTAGTAGCTGGGACTACAGGTGCACACTACCACATCTGGCTAATTTTTGTCTTTTTGGTAGAGATTTGCCCAGGCTGGCCTTGAACTCCTGGACTCAAGGGATCTGCCTGCCTGGGCCTCCCAAAGTGCCGGGATTATAGGCATGAGCCACTGTGCCCATCCAACAATACAATGTCCTATATGTATTTGTGAGTAGATAATAAAGACAAGATTTTACTGAAGAGTCTAGTGAATATCAATGAGGAAAACCTGGCAAAGTTTGATGAATCAATTCAGTGAAATCTATCATTCAATAAACTGACTCAGGAATTAGACAATAACTCAACAGTCATTTAACAAACTGGTCAGCCTCTGCATGTAAACAAATCATGAATCCCCCCAGTTTCTTATTCTGTAAAATGAAGAGATTGGCACCATGAGATACCACCTCATACCCATTAGGATGGCTACTATCAAAATCCAGAAAATAGTATTAGTAACGTTGTGGAGAAATTGGAACCTTGTACACAGTTGGCAGGGAGATAAAATGGTACAGCTGCTATGGAAAACAGTTTGGCAGTTCCTTAAAAAATTAAAACAGAATTATTGTATGGTAATTGATATCACTCAACGGGCGATCCAGCCATTCTACTTCTGGGCATATATTCAGAAGAAATGAAAGCGGAGTCTCGAGAGATTGGTACACCCACGTTCACAGTAGCAAATTCACAATAGCACAGTAGGGTAACTATAATTAACAATAATGCGTACAGTCATGCAATGCATACCATTTCAATCAATGATTAACTCCATATACAATGGTGGTGCCATAAGACTATAATAGGGCTGAAAGATTTCTATTGCCTAGTGATATCCCAGCAGTTATAATGTCATAGCACAAGGTATTATTCATGTTTGTGGTGATATTAGTATAAAAATGTATGCATAACACATACATTTACGTATAATACATAATAATAATAAATGACAATATTACTGGTTTATATATTTACTATATTTTTTATGGTTATTTTAGAGTATACCCCTTCTATGTATGTAAAAAAAAAAAGCTAACTGTAAAACAGCCTCAGGCAGGCCCTTCAGGAAGTATTCTAGAAAGAAAGCACTGATGTCATAGGAAATGAGGGCTCCATGTGTGTTATTACCCCTGACGACTTTCCAGTGGGACAAGATGTGGAGTGGAAGACAGCAATGTTGACACTGGGTAGGCTTAGGCTAATGTATGTATTTATGTTCTCATTTTTACAAAAATGTGTAAAAAGTAAAAAAGATTTAAAAATTTAAAAATAGGAAAAAGCTTATAGAAAGCTTACATAAGGATACAAAGAAAGAAAATATTTTCGTACAGCTATACGATGTGTTTGTGTTTCTAGCTGAGTGTTATTACAAAAAGTCAAAAAGTTAAAAAAAAATTGAAAAGTTTATAAAGTTTAAAAAGTTGACCAGTTGCAGTGGCTCACACCTGTAATCTCAACATTTTGGGAGGCCAAGGCAGGCAGATCACTTGAGGCCAGGAGTTTGAGACCAGCCTAGCCAACACAGAGAAATCCCATCTGTACTAAAAATATTTTTTTAAAAAATTAGCCAGGCATGGTGGTGAGCACCTGTGATCCCAGCTACTTGGAAGGCTGAGGCAGGAGAATAGCTTGAACCCAGGAGGCAGAAGTTGCAGTGAGCTGAGATCAAGCCACTGCACACCAGCCTGGGTGACAGAGTGAAACTGCCTCAATAAAAAAAAAAAAGGTTACAGTAAGCAAACGTTAATTTATTATTGAAGAAAGAAAAACATATTATTTTAATTAATTTATTCATTTATTTAGAGACACAGTCTTGCTCTGTTGTCCAGACTGGAGTGCAGTGGTGTGATCACAGCTCACTGCAAACTCAAACTTCTGGGCTCAAGCAATCCTCAGTTTCCTGATACCCAGGGACTAGTGTGTATCACCACACCCAACTAACATGTATTTTTTTTTGTAGAGATGGGGTCTCACTATGTTGCCCATGCTTGACTCCATCTATTGACCTCAAGTGATCCCGCTGCCTCAGCCTCCTCAAGTGCTGGCATTACAGATGTAAGCCACTGTGCCCAGCCAAAAACTTGCTTATAAATTAAGTGTAGCCTGTGTACAGTGTTTTATAAAATCTACAGTTGTGTACAGTAATGCCCTAGGCCTTCACATTCACTCACCACTCACTCACTGACTCATCCAGAGCAACTTGCAGTCTTGCAAGTTCCATGTATGATAACTGCTCTACACACCTGTACCATCTCTTATATTTCACACTGTATTTTTACTGTACTTTTTCTATGTTTAGCTATACAAATACTTACCATTGTGTTTCAATTGTCTGCAGCACTCAGTACAGTAATATGCTGAACAGGTTTGTGGCCTAGGAGCAATAGGCTATACCATATAGCCTAGGGGTGTAGTAGGCTATACCATCTAGGTTTGTCTAAGCATACTTTATGATGTTCACACAACAAAACTGCCTAATAATGCATTTCTCAGAATATATCCCAGTCATTACGTGATGCATGACTGTATTTCAAAATAGCTGGAAGAGAAGATTCTGAATGTTCTCACTACAAAGAAATAATAAATTATTGAGTGATTGATGTGCTAATTACCTTGGTTTGATCATTACAGAACATATATATATATATATATATATATATATATATATATATATATATACATATATATATGTATATGTGTGTGTGTGTGTTTGTCAAAACATCACACTGTCCCCTATGAATAGGTACAAAATATGGAACCTGCAATCAGCTTGCCAAGGTCTGACTAAAATACAATGTGTTAATTTAAGAATTACTCAGAAATCAATTTATATAAGGCCTTATAGGAATTAAAACTACTGAATTCTACTGAAGGACATAAAAAATATGAATACATCTTCTTGTAAGATTCATTATTATAAAGATATAACTTCTTTCCAAATCAACTCACAAATTTAATATTTAGGAGTTTTTCATACATGGAAAAGATGGGAGAGCAATACAACTTGTACAAAGTTTGCAACAATCTAAGGGTCTATCAGCAGTGGAGTAGCTAAATATGTTAATACTATGCATTGAGGAAAACAACAAGGTAGAACTTACTTGTGTGTGCTGAAATGGAATAATTTACCAGATGTATTACGATAACTTGATAAAATGATTCTCAAGTTTCTCTGAAGAGTATGCTCATAAATATTTTGAAAAAAGAGAGAGGACTTGTTTTAATAGATATAAAAACACATTTTAAAGTTAAAGAAAATTAAAGCAGCATGATATTGAAGCTGAAATGTATAGAAAGAACAACAAACAGAAAGAAAGTGACTAGCAACCAGGAACCTACCCATGCATATCCAGGAGTTTAGCAGGTGGCATTTCCAAACAGCAGGAAAAGGAGACTTTTCAATTAATGGCTAATCAATTAAAGAAGAAGAAAAAAGACATGATACCTGCCTCGTGACACATGTAAAAATAAACTCCACATGGTTTAAAAGTATAGACTTAAAATTTTTAATTAAAAAAGAAAAGATAATACTATTTTTACAATCTAGTAGGACCATCTATGTAAAATACAAAACACTGAAACCACAAAGATTTGACTAAAAAAATTTTTTAAATACCATTTGGCAACCATGAATAAGGTAAAAAGACAAGAGACAAATGAAGAAAATATATCAGTAATTTTGAAAACTGCATTAAATTTCAATATGGAACCTGCAATCAGATTGCCAAGGTCTGACTAATGTGACTTAAGTCCTCCACTTCTTCTTCTTCTCTGCCCCGCCCACTTTCCCTCTGCCCTCTCCCCTCCTTCATTAGCTTCTTTTTTGTTTGTTTCTCCAAATTATCTGTCAGTGAACACTTAGGCTGTTTCCACCTTTTGGCTATTATAAATAATGCTACTCCAAACATGAGTGCATTTTTTGTTTGTTTGTATTTTTTTGTTGTTATTTTGCTTTTTTTTTCTTCTTTTTTTCTATTTTTAAGGGAAAAATAATCAG